AAAGTACCCTAGCATAAGTGACTTTCTATGAACTTTTGGCAATAAATATTTTCTCCACTGCTTTAGATATGTAACTGCATGTGATTTTTTTACCCAATCGGGTAGCTTTCTTGCCCTATCCTTAGCTATGTTCCCAAGGTATTTGGTATAGAGATTAAAAACTAATATTGAGATATGTTTCTCTCTAAGTTGCCAAGCTTTTCATAATCATCCTCAAATAAAGGATGAATGAAAGCCCAAGGAGAAATTGTACTTTATAAGTGTCAGGAGCTATCTCTGCCTCCAAGTTGGAGGAAAAAAAAAAACTCTGATTAAAAGAGTTTAGAGCTGGGCACAGTGGTGCACACCTATAATCCCAGTGGCTTGGGAGGCTAAGGCAGGAGGATCACAAGTTCAAAGCCAGCCTCAGCAACTTCGAGGCACTAAGCAACTCAGTGAGACCCTGTCTCTAAAATAAAATTCAAAACAGGGCTGGGATGTGGCTCAGTGGTCCAGTGCCCCTGAGTTCAATCCCCTGTACCAAATAAATAAATAGAAGAGTTCAAGTGCATAGCCTCACTTTGCAGATAGCACAGAACTCTTTTATATGAGCTGCCTCAACATTCGTGTTTACAACCACCCCCACCATGCACATAAAACCCCTTTTCTACTTTTCCTGGTAACATGAATCTCTTTCCAGGGGCAAAGCTGTGGGTATATTAGTAAAAGAACCAAATCAGCAGTATGAGGCTCTGGAAACTGTGCAATGAATTGAGCCCTGAGGCTGAAATAACCCACAAATTATTTCCATAATCATGGTTGATCTCCCTTGCTTTAACCTCACCCCCTACACACCCAGGTTTCTTTCAAATCCAGCCCCTCCAGAACTATGTGGATTACAATAAGTAGAATACAGAAAATGCCCTCATGGATCCCAAACAGCAGTAATTTCCTCTGAAAAGGTTCATTTTGTGCTTTATCCCACATAAGTACCATAAAAAATTCCCATAACAAGAAGACACAGAGGTATTCATGAATAAGGTCTTATGTTTCCACAAAAGAACTTCATACAATGTGACCTATAGGGTATTTAGATTCTAGTAGCAATTTTATGGCCTTGAAAGTCCTTTCAAAAGGAATTCATATAAGAGGAGTGTAAGAAAAAAAAGGAGCCTCCTTGAAACCAATCGGATGATCATCTAACTTGTATGGTGAAGAAAGAAAGGCCAGAATCAGGATATGGTTTAGAAATATTCCCAATGAGGGGTCTAATTTGAAAGATTTAAAAAACTTGCTCACTTTTTACTATAGCCATTGATATCTTTCCATGTCCTTCTCAGGGTCAATAGCAACACTAATAGGATAAACATGATATCACTATGAGGCTTTGGAGAAAGCAAGGCTTGGTTTAAATACAACCCTAAAGAAAGGCTCAGTTTAAATCCAACCCTGAGTGCAGTGGCTGTGTGCCTCAGTATCCGTTCCTGTCTCCCTAAGTGTTAGCTTTACCAAACATAGTCCATATTGATATGTTAAAATATGGACCCACAATCCAATTCACTGCAGCTCTAACAATTAGAATGACTCATCCTGTAAAATACTTTCAAGATGGTGGCATACAGTGAAAGCTCAGTAAAAGATAGCTGCTGATATTACAATAATGTTGCTGCTCTTAAGGTGCTTGGGCATAGCCTCATTTACAAGATTTCCAATTAATAGATAAAAAGCAATGCCAGATGCATCAAACAATAGTCTTTAAGATATGCAGAAGAATATTTTTATGACCTTTGAGCATGCAGATGTTCACAATAGGCTACCCAATGCATTACTCATCAAGGATGATTTGAGAAGTGAGAATACAACAAATGACACCTTTAAGGGAGCAAAAGATAACAAACACACTGTGTAAAAAAGGTACTTGTAATGAATGTCATTAAAAAGAGAGAAAAATGATATAGAAAATATGTAAAGAATTGCCATGAATCACAAAGACAGAAAACTCAATGGAAAATAGGCAGGAGATGGAAAAAAGTACTTCACAAAAGTGAATGGTATTGAAATGGCTATCAAACACATGAAAAAGTGCTGAATTTCATGCTAACAGTGTAAAAAAGAAAAAAGATCTGACGATACCTGGAATTGCTGAGGATAAGGAGCATGTGGAATTCTCCTTGGTTACTGAAGGGACTGACATCATTTAAACCACTTTGGAAACTGGTAATCATTTTGGCGGTATCTGGTAAACCTGAGCACGCACCTGTACCATGGCCTACCAATGCCATTCCCAGGAAGAGACCAGATAGAAATATGGGCAAAAGAATCCTGAGAAAAGGTACAAGAGTGCTCGTAGAACACTGCTTATGATTCTCCAAAGCTGGGAACAACCCAAATGTATCCATGGAAAAGGCCACCATATGTCCCAGTTGTCTTAGGACTACCGCAGCTCACAACTTTCATCCTGGCATAATTATCAAACATCTCGTCTCTAAAGTGTCTTTGTGAATGCTGTCAGCATCAATGGGGAAGTCAGAACTTCCAGGAACCATTTTTCCATAAAAACACTGGACAAATTGTCAAGATGAATATTACCAGCATTTTGGAAATCAATCAAAGTCTTGCAATAATCTGAGGTGCATTTATTAGAGATGAATAGCTAAATCTCAGTAAGAAAACAGGTTCTATGGCATTTCAACTTGCCCCATTCCCATGTCCATCTCCACATCTGCACAATCACATGGAAACGAACAGCCTAACAACTACTGGTGGGAAAGAATGAGTTTGAACTTCATGCTAAGATCCATTCTCAGAGAACTGTCATTACCCACCCTGTCTAGCACATCCCAGGAAATCCCATTCACAGGGCTTGCCATTTTTTGACTCAGATCTCACTCATGCTAACAGTCTACTCCAGGGATACTTGTGAAAAACTATTAATATCACAGCTGCCTGAGGCAGTGATAAAAGGTGAGTCAAACAAGAATTTGACCAAGAAACTTGAGGGAAAACAAACGCATAAGATTTCCATAGGGAGCTTTGAGAAACCCTGGCATAGTTATGGGAATTTAGAAGTTCACACACATGCACTGAGCTGTACATGTCCAGAAAGCCCTGAGAAGGCCCTCAGCTCATCCTCTGACTGACCAAATGGTTCTGTGAAAGCACCAAAAGATAAATAGACTTTCTTTTTAATGAACCACATATAAATTCTGGAGTTGAAATATAAAATAACTAAATGGGCTCAACAACAGATTTGAGTTGGCAGAAAAATAAATTAGTGGATTTGAGGTAAATCAACTGAGATTATCCAATCTAAGAAAAAAGATTAAAATAGACTCTCAGTGACCTGCAGCACAGTCTCAAGTATATGAATTTAAACCAAAAAGGGGTTACAGAAGGAAAGGAAAGGGAGAAAAGGAAGACTGAAGAAATATCTAAAAACCTTCCAAATGTGATTTATAAACATACACACACACACACGCGTGACTACACATGCAAGAACCACAGTGAATTCCAGGTAAAGTAAACTCAGATTGATTCTATATACATCATAATCAAACTGTGTAAAACAAACAAACAAACAAACAAACACAAAATCTTGAAAGTAGCAAAGAAGCAACCCACATAAATGGAAGCCTCATAAGATGAACAGCTGAATTCTTAGTGGAAACTATACAAGCCAGTAGGCAGTGGGAGGACATTTTCCAAATGCTGAAATAATACTGTCAATTAAGAATACTATATCCAGCAAAACTATCTTTTGAAAATAAAGAAGCAATTAAGCCATTCCTAGATAAACAATGTCCTGTTTGCATCATAGAAGACATGTTCATGGTATTCAACTAGTAGGCTGGTGTGGATATGTGGGTAGGGGAAACTAATACTCTGCCTGAAACTTCCATTTCTTGTCCAGGTTGGTGGTTACATATTTACTTTGTAACAGTTCACTGGGCAGAGCATTTATGTTTTGTGCACTCTGTTTCTGTGTGGTTTCCTTCACAGATTTTAATAGAGAAAACACAGACACTTTGTCTTTATGTAAGAGAAATCGACATACTTTATGCTTCTTACTTTAATTTCCCCAATAGAAATAACTTACAAAACTTGATGAAATAAACTATTTATTCCCTCTATACCTTTTTTTTAGCTCTTTCCTTGCATAGAATATTCTCACTGTCCATTTCACCCAGTTTAACCCTGTTCTTCCTTACTGTCTGGGCCTTACCACAATGTAAAGATTTGTTCCTATGTCTGTGCCTCCCATTACAAGTGAACACTTTTAAGGGTGGAAACTACGTTAAGAGGGATTCTCAACAGCCCTGTGTATAGCACAGATGCAGTATGGAACGAAGGTTTGAGTGATTAATTCATTAATGGGATAAACAAGGAAGGCCTTCATGATTGAAAACCACCAAATATTCTTGCAGGATATATCCCAATTAAAAAAAAAAAAAAAACTCAGGATTCCTTATAACAGTAAATATTAACCCTAAAGCAGGAAAACTATTTTTTTTAAAAATTAGCTGTCAAACTTATAGAACACTAGGTAGTGAGCTCTGATACAATGAGGAAGAGAAACTATTTAGGGACAGCAAGTCCTTTCTGGGATTTCATCATTATACTTTATGATTAATATTAGAAAAGAACAGATTATGATACAAAAAAATTTTGACAGCTAATCATGTCTAAATTAAGGATCTCATGATCCTTTCTTAAATGCTACACAAACGGTACTGAAGCTACGTGAAGAAATTCTCCAACTCACAGCAAACTCGGCAAGTTTCTCAAACCCAAATCACAGCTCTCCTCAGGCTTCACTATGAAAACCTCTGGATGGGAACTCTCATTCCTGGAACTCATTATAGATGTATACTCTGTCATTCGCCCCTTTTGTTTCTATAATGAACAACAGACAAATCCCACCACTAAAATGAAAAAGCGGGGTGGGAGGGGTATCTAGACAGGAGAGGAAGGTATCCCATTCAAAGGTTAGAAATGTCCTGCAAAGCAAGTGTCCAACAAACCTGAAACAGGAAGGCATCGCCCAGGGAATTGCTGAGGCAGAAGACGAAGTCCTTCTTGGGGTGCTCGGGCACAGACTGCACAATGCTGTTCTCCACCCAGACGGCGTGCTTGGGGATGCTGTTGTGATCAATTCCAGACCTGCCGTCACTCTCATAGAAAAAAAGCGTGCATCCTGAGGAAGTAGAACAGAGGGCCGTGTCAGTATTCGACATTGGGGCAGTGAAAAGTCAGTGTAAAGTGTAAGCTAACATTTGTTAGCAGGAAAGGGCTAGAAGTTAAAGTGTGCAGAACCCAGGAAATAAAGAGAATGGGTCATGCTTATACTCAGGTTTATGACTGGCCTAGATAAAGGTTACGATCTTAAACCACAGCTTCTAAACTAGTAAAGAGCTCTGCACATGGCTTCAAGTTCTTTGAGAATCTTACTTCCTGTGTTGGCATGTTGAGCTATGGGCATCCTTATAGGCATATGGGGGTCCTAAGGCTCCTTTGCCCAGCAGTGACTGCAAATGTGGCTCCTAGGTTCTAGAGTACTGTATCCAGTACTGGGTGAAGACTCAGCAGTCATTACTGCTCAATTGAAGCCATTTCCAATGTCTCACATGACAGGAAACCAGAAAATGGATTTAGTTTTTGGACCACACCCTTGGAGAAAAAATATATAATACTGGTTTTAGGTGCAATTAGGGTACGAAAAGAGATGATACGTTGTGGTCTCAGATCTATCTATACATGGTTTTGGTTTTTTCTAGAAATAAGCCATGTTCATGTCCTGTTCTGAGAAAGGGGAAATGAACGGCACACATAAGGAGGTCTAAGGGAAGCCAGAATCGTGGTCCACACTTAACTACACTATAAAACTGAGACAGTAGCAATAGAGGTATTTCATAGGTTTCGGGTAAGGCGGCTTCATTAGAGTCTTCCATGATCACCTGAACTGGAAGCTCATTTTAATAGCAATTACTAGCTGAACACTTACTCTCAACTAATTGAAACCAATTTCAGGAAAGCCTGGGTACACTTGTATAACTCTTCCTCAACTTGCACATTCCTTACCTCCAGCAAGTACCACGCTTTGGGGAATTACAGAGCCTGTGAATGTACAATCTATTTGGTTACAGTATGAGTCTCTAAAGGAAACTTGTTCATATGCAATATGTAGAATAATGAAGATCAATAGAAAAGTCGTATTGCCTCAGAGGCAATGTTTCCTCGCCCATAGTATTTCACATTTCCTTGTGACAGCTGCTGAGAGCAACATCCCTAAACACAGATCCATGGAGAATACTGGTCTGCATGGCCCACTCACTTCACACTGCCCCTGCCCTTGGCCCAGTTTAACCACAGGCTCTGCTTAAAGTCCTTGCAGGGGCTGGGGTTGTGGCTCAGTGGCAGAGTGCTTGCCTAGCATGTTTGAGGCACTGGGTTTGATTCTCAGCATCACATACAAATAAAATAAAGATCCATCAACGACTAAAACTATAAATATATATTATATATAAAGTCCTTGCAGCACAGAGTTCCTGAGCTTTATAACTTCATACCTGTTGTCCTTGTCTCCATAATTCAGGAGTCTCCATTATACTCTCTACCAATTTAAGTTAAACTTGCTTCTCTTTTTAAGGATAAAGTTTTCTGGTCATTTTTTTTTAAAGAGACAATGTCTTATGGTGCTTATTTTTATAAATTTTTAATAAAGCTTAATAGAACAATTCTTAAATTTGTGATTCTTTGCTTACATATGACTTAAACACATACTGTTCAGTGTTCTACCTCAAAACTGTTTTCCCCATTAATCCCTGTGATTTTGGAGATCTCGAGGGTTTTCAAGGAACAGTTTAATCAAAACGCTAAACCATCTGTACCTCCTAGTCTTATGCCTTAAGAATGGAAATTCATTCAGTAGAGATAAAGAAACATAAGAAAAAACAAAAACGGAAAGGGACACCATTTTCCTCTAAATCAAAGGTTCTCTGTGGACAAATTGACAACGCCTGCAGATATTTTTGATTGTCACAACTTGGTGGGGAGGTGCTACTGGCATCTAATGAGTAAGAACAGGCACTATACAGTTGGGTTCTTAAAGGTCCCCAAAGGCCCATGTGTTGGACACTTAGCCACCAGGGATGGGGCTACTGGAAGGTGTTAGAACATTTAAGAGGTGGGGCTTAGTGGGAGGCCTTTAGGGTTTATAGGGCATGGATTAGAAAGGGATAATGGGACCTCAAGTCCTTTCTCTTCCTCTCCTTTTTGCTCCCCAGCTAGAAGGTAAGTGGTTAACTGTGCTACTCACTCTCAACATGCCGTACTACCCTGCCACAGGACCAAAAGCAATAGGAACAACCAACAAAATGGACTCAAATCTCCAATACTTTGAACAAAAATAATCCTTTTCTGTTTATAAGTTGTTGATTATCTCAGGTATTTTGTTATAGTAATAGAAATCTGATGAACACAAATAAGAAGGCTGTTAAGCATTGTATGCCCAGGGAAACCCCCAGAATAAAGAATCATCTGGAAAATGTCAACAGTGCTACTGTTGAGAAAGGCTGCTCTAAATAATCTTTATGACTCATCCAACCCTGATGATCTGTACTTAACACAAAAGAAGCAACACACTTTACTGCAGGTGGAGAACAGAATAATAAGTCTATATTAATTAATATAGTAATGAATTAGGGGGCACCCACAATCCTAGCATGTGCATACAACAGTCCTTCCAGATAGCTGTTTTTAGACATTTTTAGCTTTCATTTGGAATCATCCACAACAGGAGGTGTTTGAAATTGGCTTTTACTCAATGATCAACTTGTTCTAATTTTAAGACTAACAAGAAGCAGCAAATCCAAGAACCACATACTCCCTGTTCAAAGTCTGTTTACCTTTATCTTCACTTGAACATAAGCTCTAAGCTCTTCAGCTACTCATGAAGTTATTTGCAAGATTCATTCTAGATAGCTTTTCTTTTAATTATTTATTTTGTGTAATACAAAAGAATCTCTGGGAAAAGTCTCTATCCCAGTTTCCAGGGGTTCAGCCTTTTCTTTCTAAATATCCAAGGATTGCTGAGAAAAGTCAGCAGTGAGTCTTGTTTCTGAGTGGCAAGTACAAAGCCCGCAGTGTGTCTGCAGATAATGGGAACCTGTCAGGATTAAGAGGTGAAGGGCTCTGTGGCTGCATGTTCTCAGCTGACTCCTGACAGGTTGTGTCACTCAGATCTGGGTCACCCAGAGAGCAAAGGCTTCCTCCTCTAATGGGCTCATGGACTATGCTCCCAAAAGCCTGTGCCCTGGCTTCCTGTGTCATTTATCCTTTAAGGAAATGGCAGAGGAAAGAATACTCCCATACACACCATGTTCCAAGTAAAAACAGTCACCTAATTATTTCTGTTCCATGCCACCATCATCGCTTTCAAATTTAGAGCAAGAATCACCAGAGAAGCTTGTTTAAACCACAAATTCAGGCCTGTTACAGATGAATTCTGTCCCTCAAAACTCCTATGTTGAAGTCCGAATCCCCACTACTTCAGAATATGATTATATTTGAAGATATGAACTTTAAAGGGATAATTAAGGAAAAGTGAGGTCATATGGGCAGGTGATCATCTAATATGACTGGTGTCTTTCCAAGAAGATGGAATTTGGACACAGGTATGGAGAGATGGCCACATGAAGATACCTGAAGAAAATGGCAATCTCTAAGCCAAGGACAGAAGCCTCAGGAGAAACCACCCTTGCTAACACCTTGGTCTCAAACTTGCCTCCTCGAGGACTGGGAGACAATACATTTCTGTTATTTACAACTCCCGGTTTGCAATCCTGGCCACCGTGTCAACAGAACCAGGTGTTGCTATGAGGGGATTGGGCATGACACGCTCTTCTTGCTTAACCATGAAAAACAGTAAAACAAAGCAAAACAACAACCGACCAAGCCTCATTTGCAAGAGATGGGGGACAGGGCAGGGGAAGTCCTAATCAAGAGGCTTCGGGTTCCAGTGGAGGCAGATGAATAAGTTCTGGAGTTCGGTCTGAAACGTTGCACATAGAGTCAATGATAGTGTATCATACATTAGAAATAGTTAAGAGCAGACTTAATGTTATTATGGTCTTGCCACAGTAAAATAAAACATTAAAAACTTCACATGAAATAATTCTACACCATAACACAGAAACCTCCATCATGTGAGGTCCGAGGCTCATCAGTGGTGCATATTATATGCAGCCAGCGCCCCCCTCTTACCTTTCAGGGATACCCAGTAGTGCTTCCACTTCCTGCGGGTGGCCGACTCCACTTTCTTGTTCTTCTTGTGCACCAGAAAGTTCTTGACCGCCAGCGCGCCGGCCTTGCGCACCGTGCCCTGCGCGGCCGTCAGCAGGATGTCGGACTGGCCCGGGGAGCTCAACGTGCCGCTGCTCTGCTCGTCGCTGTGCGCAGAGCCGGCTTCCTCCAGGCTCTCGCTCTTGGTGGTACTCATCTCCAGCTCCCGCCTGAAGTTCTCGTACACCCCCTGGCGAGCTGCATCCCCCGTGGAGCTGCTGCCGCTGTCGCTGCCCACGAAGGCCCTGCCGGTGGGGGGCGAGTCACTGGAGTTGGTGGCATTGGATCGCCTGGACAGGAGGTCGGTGTCGGTGGTGGCCCCTTCGATCCCGCTGTCTGCAAACTCGCTGCCCTCGCCTGCATTAACATCCTGGGGAGCAGAAAGGGGAAGAGAGACATGCATCACGGAAGCAGGAACCTAGGAGCTCCTAAAGGTCCGGCCAGGGGCTCTGTAGCTGCAGGAGACCCACAGGGCATGGCGGCTGGCCACTCCTCCTAGACCAATTCCTTATTACCCCAGCCACCGAGGAGCTGTTCAGGAAACCTTGAGCCACCCAGCACGAAGGCAAACAATCCATTTGGAATGTTTAAGAAGCAGAAAAGAAACAGGGAGCACTTCAAAGAGCTGATCATTTATCTGACTTAGATAAGTAGCTAATTGGCAAATCTGCTATTGAGATTCTCCCATGACCATGCTGAGAGAACTCAGCGCCCTCACCCTCACGGCTGGCCTTGAACTCCAGGAAATCCCACAGGCAGATTAGCTCCTTGTTCCAGAGGTAGGGGGTTACAATGCATAACTAGGTGCTCACAGCAGATGTGATTTTTCTTTTCTTTTTAAAATAAAAGGCCTGCCTAGGAGTCTGTTTTATAATAGGGTGACTAACCAGATAGTGTACTGCCTCACCCACTCATCCAGCAGGACCCTGTGTCCCAGGAGCCAGCAAGAGTCCTCATGCCCTAATCAGCCTCCTTCTTGAAAACAGCAGTCTCACTCCACATTGTATTAAATCAGACTGTGGGGCCCGGGCTCCGACTCCTGCTCTCCAATTACTTTGCCCTTTCAAAGTGGGGATGCTAAGAGCCAGAAGCAGGTGACTCACTGCCCCTGGGCCAAATAACAGTTCAGGGCAACTGCCAAGATGCTGGGTATCAATTCCCACTTTTAAAACATTTGGAACTTCTAAGTGCCCCTGTTCTCCAGTCAAACATTTCCAGGGCAGACTGGTCTGTTCCTAAATCAGAATTTTAATTGCTCTAAAGTGCTACAAGCATTTCCATAAACAATAATTAAATAATGGTAGCCATCAAGGGGAGACAATGACAGCAGTATTGGACAGGACGACCCAACAGTCGTATGGATAAGGAAGGACACTGACTTTTATCAAAGGAAGAGAGCAGGAACAAGTCTGACACAGAGGGGATGGCAAAGGAATACACAGTTTGATGACTCTCCAATTTTGGAGCTTTTACCAATAAATAACTAATTATGATTGAAACATGTTAAAATGAACTGGATATTCTGGATTGTCATAAATAGAAATGCTTTGGATGCCAATCTGTGCTGAAAGGCAATTGGGCCCAAAGAGCCATGCCACAAACTGATATTGCCCTGTGTAAGGCCCAGACAGGTGCCATGCCCACATCTCCATGAGTCTTACTTAGTTGTTCCAACTTAGAATTGTTCAAAGGTCATCATGAAAAAATTCTAAGTGAGCAACTAAAAGAGGTACAGAGCCAGACCTGGAGAAAGGTGGGAAAGGGCGGTGGAATGGTAGCAGGGTGTATCTGGACAAGCTTCTGAGGACTGGGTCCATTTCAAGTGGAGTTCAGACCTCTGGGAGTTAATAGGGACTTAAGAGGACTCTTAACCCTGTGCTATGATTTGGACATGGTTTGTTCTGCAAGGGTTTATATGTTGGAAGCTTGGTCCTCATTGTGACAATGGAGAGAGCTGGTGGAAGTTCTAAAAGGAGGGAGGGGTCCAGTGGGAAACAATTAGGTCACTGGGGGTACCACCCTTGGAAAGGATTAATGCTAGTCTCTTGAGTTATTCTTGCAACAGCAATTTGTTATGAAAAAGTATGCCTGACCCCTGTATCTCTGGCTTCCTTTCTTGTCATGTGATCTGTCTCTCTAATATGGGCTTCTACCATGACTTTCCAGAAGGCTCCCACTAAAGCAGCAGATGCTGGTATCATGCTCTTGTACCTCTAAAACTATGAACTACTTGAACCTGTTTTCTTTACAAATTAATCAGCCTCAGGTGTTTTATTTTAGTCATGACAATTGGGCTAATACATCCTGTAATTGCTGGTCCCATCTCTTTGCTATCTGTTCTTGTGCCTATTTACAACCAAGAATGGTCATAAAGAACCAGATCCAGTTGGTAAAAATCCTCTATACAAACAGGAAAACACTGTTATCAACCCACATTTCTCCCTAGCAGGACATTTACCATATGCTTCCCTGCTAATATAAGACAATAAGGAAATTTGACAACCATTGATTATAGATAACCATGAGTCGTGGAAGATAAGAAGTCTGCGAATTTCCCAAACTTCTGGCTTCATTTTCATATGTCTCAACCCTTCCCTGATGTGGGTTAGGTATGTGTAAAAGAATCAGCTATAATTGCTCTTCTCTGAAATGCAAAGAGGTGCAAGGCTTCTCTATGAGACAGGAAAAATATAGGCCACACAGACAGCATTGCTAGTCCATCAGAGAGACTTAAGTACAAAGCAGGTAAGAATTAACCCTAGGCATCTTTTAATTTCCAAAGTTCCACAGCTAGAAGGAACACTACAAGGACATCTCCCGATTAACAGATAAGAATACTGGAAATCATAAATCTGGCTGGTGGCAGACTAGAATTTGGCGCCTGCGCTTCTGAGTATCTTTCCCACTGTTATATGGCAGTTCCATGGTAGAGCACCTGATTAGATTTTGCCTAAACATTCAGCTCCTGCCCTCCTCTTGGTTACACAGTGCCTTCTAGGATTTCCCAGGAAAAACTGGGTAATGGTCCATCCATTTGCCTTGACTTATCCAGCAAAGAGCTTAAATGCTGAAAGTGGAGGGAACCAGGCCAACTCTCTTACAGGTTCTTAGTGCCCTATGAACCATTCACCTCTCTACAGAATACCCGCAAATCTCTCACCATGTAAACAAAGCATTAAGGCCTCTGAGGACACTCACCTCTGTCTCACATCTGAACATCTGCTCATGCCACTGTCACGGTAACCGTGCAGTGGCCCAGGCTGTGTGTGCTCAGCTCTGAGATGGCCATCAAACTAGGCCAGGAAGGGATTCCTCCAGGTAGGAGGCTGGCTGGCCACAGCTGAGCAGGCACATGTGACGCAGTGTGATGCTAGGCAATGCTCTGGGATCTGTGAACCAGGACGACTCCACCTCATCCCTAGAAGTGGTTAATCAGGCTTGGCCACACACATCCCCCAGCTGATAGGTGACCCAACCCATTGGGAAGCAGATGCCTGCTGCCCTGCCCCAAATCTTATGAAGTCATGAAGCTTGGTTGTCCCAAATATCCAGAAGCCCATCCCCTAGTGTGGAGAATGGGAGGACCCAGCCAGGATCACTGCTCAACACTGTTCTTTCTTTCCTTTGCTGTGACATACATTTTCTGTGGTCAACTTCTGGAAGGCTCCTCCTCCTATTTACCTTGACATCCAGGACATTTCACAACAGAGAACGCTGATTCTCCCCATACTTAGGGCACCTGTCAACCTCCCACCTCTTCTCGACCTCCAGCAATACAGAAGACTGATGCCCGCGATGAGGTCAAGTGGGAGGCTCTGCAGTCTTCGTAGCAAAGGCAGGGTATGTTCCTTCTTACCAAACGAAACGACTTGGCATCTGATTTGTCTTCAACTATTTAGCCAACTACTAAATTTTGACCTAAAATGTCAGAGGAGGGCTGGGGTGTGAACTCAGTGGTACAGCGTTTGTCCTGAATGGGCTAAGGCACTGGGTTTAATCCTCAGTCAGAAGAAATCAAAAGAAGTGGTAAGATCCTAGACAAACAGAAACAGTCCCCCAATATGGTGCATGACCCTACAGAGATTTCCAGAAAACTGCGTTTAAAAAAAAAAAAAAAAAAAAAAAAACCTCTCCATGTTAGAAATGCTCCACTGAAGAGCCTTCCAATTATGAACATTCATGGGCTGGGAAGGTTCTTAAGTCCTGCTCTTCCGGGACAAATCCTCTCAAATCATATTTTCAGAGCACTCACCAGTTTCCATTCTCCTGGCAGTTCCTCAAAATGAATGTATGTACTTCCCTCCTGGATGTACAAGGGGCCAGCTGTAGCCCCTAACATGCAAGAGCTGCAGGGCAAGAGTCTTCTTAGTAATTCAAGCCGGGCAGCAAATGCTCAAATGACTTCCTACAGTAAACTGGGGAGGCAAGAGGCGAAATCAAAGCCTGTTTTCACTGCCTTGGAAACTGGAGGGTCACCCAGCCAGAATATGGACTGGTGATACATTGTAGCGAGGCTCAAATGTTTCCACAGGAGACTTGCAAACCTAAGTACTCCAGGGAGAAGATTTTCTGTGTTGATATGCAGACACAATTGTGAAAAGGTAATTAACTACAAAGTGCAAGGGCTCTGGGACAATTCAGGGACAGCAGAATCAATTGGTCACTTATAGTTACAAGTCAAATGCAATTAAAAATTGCTTTTTGATCACCTTAATTTCCCCAAGGGATCCAGCTTAGCCTGAACACTGTGCAGAGAAGCTAAATATAATGTAGGAGAATTCACTGAATTTCAGTGGGGCAAGGGAATTTTGAACTGTAAAAGCCTTAAATTAGAACTATTTCTGTTTTATTAAATTCTAAAATGTTCCTCCTCTTGTTTTTCTCTTTCTTATCACCAAAATGTAAGAATCCTCCTCCACATGTACCCATAGACACCCACTCATACACACACACCCGCACACACACCCCCACACACCCCATCTTTGGTTCTCAGCATTGCCCTTGGTTTACTGACATACCTATAGTGATCTCAGTAGAACAAATATCAATTCTAGGTAAATTATTCTGCACCATTCTGTGCCTTACATTGCTCATCTGTACAATGAGGATGGGAAATGATCAACCTTTTAAGACACTTTTTAAGATGCTATGTAACCCAGGAAAAGTGTCTAGACTGGTATTCAGCACACAGGAGCAACTCATAAACACCAACTGTAATTACCATCACCTCCACCTTCAGCCTTACTTAACACTTGAGCCACTGGAGGGGAGGCACTGCCTGACCTCAGCTCCAAGCTTCTGGTGCTAGCATGTTAGAAGGGCTGAGGAATCTGGGGAAAATAAAGTCTCATGGGGAAAACAGAAGGAGCA